CAGCAGGAGAGCCGTTCGCTCACCCTTCTGAGCCCACCCCACAATTAAGGGGTCACAGAGATACTGCAGGGGGTTACGTTCCCCTGCATTACATTTATCACGTAATATGGATTACAGTAACTTGATTTCAGTAAATTAATCATATGACTTGTATGATTAATTACATTCATTACAGTAAATTAATTATATTAATGATGTGTAATCACCTTAAAAGGAGGTATTGGAGCTGCACTTTAGTGATTGGGGGAATTAATGACAAGTAACTAATTCTTATCTCTAACTAGCGACCTCCAATAACATTCCAGGAGTAAGGACTGAAATTCTACAATTAAAAAGCAGTTTGGGAGCAGGTCATAAAAATCTGTCCAGAAGAGGAAAGCCAGGAGATGTCCAGGACTAAGATGGATTTGGAATAAGAGGTAGGCATATATTTTTCCAAGATTTCCTAAAAAGTAGGAGCGGGGGCACCGGCCCTCTAGAAATAACTTTTTCATAAACGTGTCCTCAGCAAATTGGCCTCGTTTGGCCCGACCCGCCTAGCAAAACCAGAGTTTGCAAAATGGGGAGGGGGGAGAGAGCGATGGGCTACCAACGCACGCGCGCAAACCTGCGCCAACAAACCCCGGGATTTTGGGGGGGGGGCTGGAATTCGCTGCGCGCCCCACGGGATTGCTCAGCCCCTTGCGCGAGTGCGTAAAGAGGATAGGTCTGTTATGTTCACCCTGCCCGCTAGAGGGCAGTGGAGACGCGCGGAAGGGAAGTCCGGGGAAGTTCGTAAGCAACAAAAAGCGGTGAGGTTTTTTTTTTCCCCTCCCCTCTCTGGAGAGTAATATGGGATGCAGCCTCCTAGCCCCGCGTTTGTTTGTTTGTTTTAGCAAAGCAACATTGAGGATGCCGCGTGGGCTTGGCAGGTAAAAGGTACAGAGGCAGACAAAACAAAACAAGCCAGATGTTATCGTTCATTTATTGTATCTGCAGGCTTGTGGATTATATATATATTTTTAATCTGGAAGGTCTCCGGATCGTAAATAAACACTCTTTGGGTTTAGAGTCCTTGTTTTAAACTTCCTGCACCAACGCTGTTGGTGGGAAACCCCATCTTTGGGTAAGGCGCTTCAGAGGGCAGATCCTAAGGGGTGGGTCACAAGAAATGCCCGAGAGGAGACCTGAGTGGTCTCTATGCCATGAGGGAGCCTCCCGAGGGAAGTGGAAGAGGCTTTGGAAAATATGTTTTAAAGACGTTTTTCAGCGTTTTAAAAATTGGCTTTTTACAAAACCGGTCCTGGTTTATTTTCGTCTGTTGTAAATCTCCTTGGGAGCTCTGGTGGCTGGAAAGGGGGGGGGTGAGGAGCCCTTCTTGGCAAGTGAAGCTTGGAATTAATATTAAAGATAACAAAGCCAAATAGAATTGATTCCCCCCCCTAACATGTAAATTATATTATTGCTCTAATTCTCCAAGGAAGAACTTCTTTATTTTTGCAGCCTGGCAGTTAACAACTGTAGTTACTTTTATAGTGATGGGAGAGCAGGATGGCGTTCCAAAATGGTGGAGGAGGAATATTCCAGGGCCCAGGTTGATGCGAGAAATTCTGTGTGATGTACTAAAAGCCTGTGGTTTCTAACAGTCAGGCTGTTTTGCTATAACCTAAAAGTAATTACTAATTCCCCCACAAAAATTCTGAGTTATTTAAACATTATAATGAACGATACCAGGGAAGTAGAGTGATAAATTGTAACTTTTAAGTGCTGCTACATTTTTTTTTTGTTATTTTGTATTGGGTTTGCTTGGATAAATTGTAGCTGCTTACTTTTCAAAATTAATGTTCTCTGCTGGAAAGCAGTAGGGATTAGGAAGTATTTCATTCTCTCAGGCAGCAGAAAAATGCCTTTGGCTGGGCTGAATGCAAAACTAAAAATGGCTGCCAGGATAAGCAGTGGCACAACGCTGGGCTGCCCTGTTCTGAGACTGAGGCTAGTTCTCATTGAGGTGGCGTTTGAATTGCAAGAGAGGGATGGGGAGACTGGAGTGACTGAATTCACCACTAGAACTGCTGGATAGCTCAGGGATTTAAGTATATACCTGGTTGCAGAGCCAGAGGCTGGGGATTTGAGTCCCCACAGGGCCACTTTGAGAGCGGAGAGGGATGGGGAGACTGGAGTGACTGAGTTCACCACTAGAACTCCTGGATAGCTCAGGGATTTAAGTATATCTGGTTGCAGAGACAGAGGTTGGGGGTTTGAGTCCCCACAGGGCCACTTTGAGAGCGGCTGGGCTTGATCAACCATAAAGTCCCTTCCAGTTCTGCAGTTCTAAGATAAGATGAAATAAAACAAGATTAGATAGATTGGTGTGGGGAAGGATTGAACCATAAAGTCCTTTCCAGTTCTGCCGTTCTAAGATAAGATGAAATAAAACGAGATTAGATAGATTGGTGTGGGGAAGGATTCCAGCGTACCCATCTTCCTGACCCATTAGCATCCTTTGCCTAAGAACTAGTGTTACTCTTTTCTGGTGGAATGTTTGGCAGGCCTTAGGAGAATTAAGTTTTGATTGACAACTCCCATAATCCCCCAGCCATCACTCAGCGTTTTGGCAGTTGTAGTCCACATAATGGGGGGGGGAAGGTATCATTTGCCACCTCTAATGCTGACTCCATCTTGCTCCCGAGTGGAGTAGCTTTATTTCTTGGTGGCAGTCTTAGAATAAAAAAACACCTATGTCACTGTGGCCAGATATTATTGAGCCATCATTGCCCATCATTGCCCATCTTTAGTTATGCAAGCTACAGTGGTGTGTGAAAGTTACAGGCCAGAAACATCCACAGCTGCCCACTCCTGGTGTCTCTTAGTTATGCAGGCAAGCTCTCTGTGAGAAAACAGGATCTCTGCAGATTACCCCCCCCCAAAAAAAAGCTCCTTTATACATCTTAGTCAAAATGAGAAAGGTCCATTCTCTCCCATGCCTTCAAGGTAAGTGAAAACATTTGTCAGAAATGTAATATCATGAGGAGAAGAAACATCCCCCACAACTCTTACCCTCTTTTCAGTAGACTCAATTAAAAGCCATCTGTGCCAAAAAAAAGAGTAGTTTTTTATTTTATTTTTATTTTGCCTGTTGCTCTGAGGGCTCTGTCTGGAAAGGAAGACACTGTTGTGAGATGCTCCTGAAAAACATCTCCTTCTGTAAATCTGCTGGTGGCACCCTGTTAGGTAGGGAAAATGTTTTGGAGATGATGGCTGCCATGGCAACCAGCAGTGGGGGGGCATTGCAACAGGCCCAGCACCTGTAATGAGGGGAGGGTTTATTCCTTGACGAAATTACCGCTCTCCCCCTCTTGGTGTTCAGGGGGAATTTAAAAGAAATAAATAAAACAAAATAATACTTTGTAGAAAATGAAATCCTGGACGTGGGTGGTAGAGCCGCAATGGACTGGAAATTTAATCCACCGTCTTAAGAAAAGTGAATTAACGCTGCTGTCACCTCTCTGCTGTGGGTTTTGTTTTGTCTTTGTGCAGCTGAAGATTGGTGTTTGCATCTGGATGCTTGAAGTCTGGGGGAGGAAATGGCCTCTCTTTCCTCAGCCTTCCTGTCATGTTGGTTCACCCAGCCCACGCCTTGTGGGCTGTTGTTTGGGAAAGAGAAGGGCAGATGCCCAGAGATGAAGCCGCGTTTCTTTACATATTGAAAATCTATGTGAGACAATCTACAGTTCAATCCTTGTTTTACAACAATTGACACCTGGTGACCTTCTAGAGGATCCTGTGTTCCAGCTGCCATCAACCTTTAGCGCTCGACCGCTGGAGGCCTTCGAGAGAATATGGGACCAACTTCTGTCAGATCTGCTCTGAATTGGGTTCTTGTATTGAGCCAGGGGGTTGGACTCCCCTTCCAACTCCATTATTTTGTGAGTCAGTAAGGATGATGGAAATTGGTAGTCCAAGGCCACCTTAAACATCCGAAAGTTTTCCCACCTGAAATGGAGAATTCCCCAGTGCTCTTAATACCTGGGGGTAGGAGACTCATTGTAGATGGGGGAGGGGGAAGCAACTGTTTGTTTAGTTAGTTAGCTAGTTTTGATACCACCCATCTGGCCTTTGGCACTATAAAAATGAAATAAATGAATAAATAAATAAATGTAGATGGCCGCATGACCATCTTCTTGAATGTAGATGGTCAAATGTCAATATTCTGTAAGTCTAGTTCAAAAGATAAAATTATCAAGTGATGGCAAAGACCTTTCTCTCTGTCTGAGACCCCCCCATCTTTTTGGCCAGATGGGTTTAAAATCTGTAGAAATGGGTTCAGTGAGTTGGAGTGCTGAATTGTAGAGCCAGGGGCCAGGAGTCTGAATCCCCAGGGTGCCTCCTGAAAGAAAGGCCAGCTGAGAACACCTCAAATGTGTGTAGCTGAGGCATATTAGGATGCCCTGTCACCTCTGCAGTCTTGTGCGAGCGATGCCATCGCAGATCAGAACTAGAAGGATGAACAGGAAAATCATTTCTGAGTACCACAGAAGGAAAACTAGCCAGATTGCAGTACTTTTCTCTCTCTTCCACCTCAGTGTTTCCATCTTCCTGATCCAGCAGCTCTATGAAGAGGGAGGATTTCCATGGGTTGCCTGCGATTTTTCATTACTGAGAAGCAGGTGTTCCTAAATGTTGATCCCACTCTGCTTCGGGTGGTGGGCCAGATACAAATCTGATACAGGTTCCCCACTTTTGCTTCCTTTCATTGATGCAAATCTGTTTGGTCTCCCTCCGCTTTGCAAAAAGGAAAA